CATGAATAAATAAATTTTTGCACAATTAATTCAGAATTAGGATCAGAACTGGTCGTTTAAAATCAAGTACTATCTCGAATTCCTAAAGTATTTGAAGTTCGAATTTACACATTATTGTTGAGAGTATTTAGATACAACGTTTTTAATTAATTACCTGAAAAAAATATGACGATTTTATTGTTTTAATTCCTTTGTCTTTATAGGTTTATAAAAATACTGTTGACTTCGGGGTAGAAATTAATTTTAGTTAAAAACCGCAGTAAAGAATACTTGTGCTGTTTTCCTCTGAAATCATGCCCACATAAATATGCATTATGTACCGTATAACACGCTAAAAATTTGCAAATAACATACAATTTACATAGTTCTATGTACACGTTTCACATGAATGACAGATGTACGCGCATTATTAATGATACTTCGGATATGTACAAATTAAGCGAAATTTATCAGAAGAATGCATAGGGCTGGGTAATCAGTGACAAAATAAGCAGCGCAAAGAAATACCCTGTACATTACAAAGATAAGCCATAAACACTCCTATGATCAAATTCACTTTAATGACATTACCTTGTGTATTTTAGCGTGTGGGGCCTACATTATAATTATAGTTTACATATTTTAACGCTTTGCAGCTTTGCGTTTTGCAATTTTAGCTACTAAAAATCGAATTTTAATCTTATGCATATATGTACATACATCATATTGGAGTTATTGGCGACGTAAGAGTTATTTGAAGCCGCATATGTACATATGTATATCCCCAGTTTGAAATTGAGGTGCATATGTATGATGCAATTAAGAGTTATTTAGGATTCACTGGTCCGAAGGAAGACAATTTTTAAGCATTGAGATAATGTTTCCCAAAATTTAGAATCTTATCAAAGAATCCACAGTACAAACTTGAATATCCAATCTCTACAGTGTAAAATAAGATAACACAAAATAAATAAAAATTAAAGCATCCAATGTAGTACAAAGGAGTATAACACATCATAAAAAACATTCATTAGAAAATATTTAAATAGTACACAAATATGTATGTGCAGATACTTTTAACGAAATAATCGTGCACTAGCTTGCGTAAAGTAAGCGAGTGTTTTTAACGATTCGAACACTAACCACAATTCAATCGTCGTGGAAATCTAAGTTATTTATGAAAATAAATAAACTCATGACTTTCCAGCTAAAATCGAGAATTATGTATACTTATGTATTTAGCTAGTGTTAAGCCGTGTTTATGCTTCACTTTTCACTTAGAGTGATCCCTATCTCGCTATGGTAACTATTAGCATTAGAGGATAGGATCACTCTAAGTGAAAAGTGAAGCATAAACACGGCTTTACACAAGAAATTTGTATTTGTGTTTACATACATAAAACAACGTTCATATGTACATATATATAACTGTGTATAATAGTAAATAGAAATCGAAAGGTCGTAATGGTATTCAAGTGCTTTATTAAATACCCAGTATACTGGGTAATCTAGTAAAAAAAATTAGAACTTCTGTCACTCCTAATTGGCATAAACAACACACGATGAATTACATTTTAACAGACTCTCACATGTAAAACGTCCGTGTTGTATTTCACGTTTCCGACGAGACAAACTGTACTCATTATGCAGCTTAAGCTCATTTACATATTTAGTTATTAGCACATATTCACATATATGTATGTACATTTGCATAGAAATAATAGGTAATACATATACATATAATTGTCGTAAGGATTACCCTCCAAACACCGTCCAACTTAGACTGTGTGCACACAAGTAAATGTAAACAAATTAAAATACGTTGTACCCTTATTCTGCTAGTAGTCGAATCTTGATGGTCATCCGGATGTGTATCGTAGTAAATATGTACAATGAAATGAATGTATGGTGATAGTTGCTTTGTAGATGACAATTAAATTACAGGAGTTTTAAGCCGTTCCAGAAATTTTCCCATACATGCACTTCTCACCGACACAAGTAGCACTTGTAATTTCGAATCCACCCGACAGCGTAGGATTATTACACAACTGATTTTGTATGATTTGTAGAATTAGGTGGCCGGCAAAGACACATATTTGATCACGACATTAAACTAAAATGGTGTTATGTTTAGAAGCTGTAGCTCAAAGCAACAGCTACCAAACAAACCTTTGTAGTTAAGGAAAAGATACGCAAAAATTAGCAAATTAGATACCCAGTTCAACAAAAGGCACAATTTACACTACTTTTACTAATTTTAAGGACCAAAGCTCTTGTATACAATTTGTGTATTCGGGACAAGGATTGTCAGCAAATTTAATCTCATTTTACCCTGTAACATTAATTTTAGTGCTAATTAAACTGTAAAATATGCGAAACCGGTCGAATGTGATAAAATAAATAAGACAATCTATCCCTTCATTTGGAAATGTTTCACCTTATTTTATAATGATTCTGTCACGAATGTGCATTAATTAGCAAACAAGTCCAACTTCGTAATCAATGACAAAGCAATTACATAAATTGTACATGGCTGACACCATAAATCATAAACACATGTGACATCCTAAATTATATGACAAGTGTCATGACATGCAAAGACAAAAATATTAACAATCCCAAATATCTATATCTAAATAAAACCACTAAATATAATCGTCAAAATTGACAGTAGCTGGAATTACATGATTTTTACTCCATATTCCTACACAAATTTCAACATTTCGAATTTGTTTGGAAAAAAGTTTAGGTTTCCAGATATGAAAGAAATCTACGAAACAGGCAAAAAATTTGAATATTTATTCATAATACATATACTCTAAGAAACTGGGTGATAGGCGTTATCATGTTCATCACCATATGACTCTACCGCCTCTGGTGATGGGCATCGTCACCTTTTTGGTGACATTATATCACCACTAGGTGATAGACTACCACCGGTTGGTGACAAACCATCACCGCATGGTGACATACCACCACCACATGGTGATATAACCGTGCGGATATCACCGTGCGGTAGAGTCATATATAGTCACCGGCCGGTGATAGATTGGTGATAGAATTTCTTACAGTGTACATACATATTCTGCCAACTCGAAATAAAATAATGCTCTAAAATCCATTTAGAAAATATTCCATTGATTGACTTCAATTCATCCCTATCAATCACTTTATAATCAATCACACAGTCTTTTTCATATTCAACAATGGAATGGAAAATTTTAAAATTTATTTAAAAAATCGCATAATACAGTTTCGCCGTCTGAAAACTATTAATGGAGTTTATACATAATTTCTCATAAGATTGTATCCATTTATTCATCCAGGATTCAAAATTTCTCGTCTCTTGGTTTGCAATCGTCCATAACTCAAGCTGTCTTGCTAATATGTCTTGGATTAATTATTTATCAATTTATCAAATCTCGTCCAAAAGGAGCCAGCATATATGAGCAACCAAAAAGAACTAATTCTGCCACAACAGGTCACGGATTCTTGATAATTTTGTCTGCAAACGTTATTTTTCACATTGGAGCTATTTTATACCTCATACGCCTCGTAATGAAAAGAAGCGATGAGGAGCAAATGGAAGAGATGACTGCGGTCGTTATTCATAGGAGAATTCCTATGTACATAGGAATGTTTTGCGAATACTAAACATTTATGAAAGTTTCATAATGAAACCCTTCTTTTTCGTGATGATTACTGTTGCGAATGTGCATTAATTAGCAAACAAACCCAACTTCGTAATCAATGACAAAGCAATTTCATAAATTATGCATGAATTACAGCATAAACTATGTATACAAATGGCACACTCTAAATTATATGACAAATGACATAAGATACCATACGGCATAAATAAAATATTAACAATCTTAAATATATCTAAATAAAATCGCCTAGATTGGCATGAAGCTGGGATTACATGATTTTCCCAATTTTCGTCAATAAATTGTAACGTTACACTGCAAATAATCCGGTGTTAATTCAACACCGTGCGGGGTGCATATATAACACCACCGCCGTGGTGTCAATCGTTGTCACCAAAATGGTGATAAATTTACACCAAATTAACACCAAGAACTTAACACCCGCGTGATTCCACCGGATTTTTTGCAGTGCACAAATTTGTTTCGAGCAAAGTTTAGAGGATGAAAACAAATCTATTAAAACGACAAAAACATCGGTCAGGAGAATCATGGTACATTTATCAACTCGAAACAACATAATGTTCTGAAATTCATGAGGAAAATATGTCATTATAATGACAAAATGTCAGTAATCTTCTAAAACAGTTTTTTCGCATCGTTTCATCATTTAACGAATCCTTTAATAGCGTTTCGCCTTCTGAAAACAATCAAGCGAGTCATATGAATGTTTGCGAATATTAAATACTGAACAACAAATTTTCAATCAATTGCAATCCCGTATTTATTATAAATTCAATGCTAAACTCGAAATGATAAGAAGGTGGAATTAATTTACGAAATATTTAGTAGCTAACTACACACACATACTTATTACGACTACGAAATTATTGAATTTTGTACTTATGTATGTATGCACACCGTTATGACTACATGACATGCAACAAGGAACTAAATTTAGACACCAATAACAATTAAGGCTAAAAATACTCGGCAAGGTGGTAATATTTATGCGAATATTATGCATCTCGTTATAATACGAGCCATCCACTCATGGCCATTCGACAAACACGGTACATATGTATATATGTTCAGGGGCTGTCCGTAAATTACGTAACGCAAAAATCGCGATTTTCTAGACCCCCCTCCCCCCCTTTAACATGTGTAACATAGGCACGATATCACTGGAGCCTAAGACCCCCCTCCCCCCTCTTGCGTTATGTAATTTACGGACAGCCCCTCACCAGTTTGAACGGATACTCCAGTGCTCTAAACCATCTAATGTAATGATGATGAATCATCATCATTGATGACCTCTCTCATTCTAACTAATGAAATTCTGCTCTGCTTTTAGTTTAGACTGGTAAATCTGGTTACCTTTGCCATTAAGATTGTTCCAGTTGGATTCGGAACCCTGCCAGTTCAGTTAGTATAAATAGGATCCCTTCGAGTTGCTTGTTCAGTAAGAATTTGACCAACTAACACAAGTTATTACAACTCAAAAAATCTTCAAAATTTCTTGACAGGTAAGTTCCCACACTTTTAATAAAATACAAAATCACCGGCCATCATACATACATCTATGTATAATCAGCATGGCGACAATTTTGTTATGGTTTGGTAATAAACCTTTACAATCTGGTTGCAATGTTGCACCAAATGGTAAAAATTTATAACCTAAGAGGGTTGATATTAAAATTTACCAGTGGGTACATAATACGCGTCATTTCCACTTCGGTATACTCATATATATGACTACCCGTTGGTAATACGTTATTACCGTATTATTGAAAGTGTACTGTTTGAAATATAACATTTGAAATTTACATAATCTCTATTTGCCCCCAGCATCATGAACTCTATGGGCTACTTTCTCCTCGCATTCGTCCTCGTTGGAGCCGCGATTGCCCAGAAGAATGGCGATAGCTGCACCCACTCAGGCGTAATGGCGCAGGATGATGCCGCGTGTGGAACCCATGCAAACAACATGTATTGCGGAACGGGAAGTACGTGCGTTTGCGCGGACGTTTATGGCAGCTCGACAGCCCATTTCACCATCGCGGCGGATAAAATGTCGTGTGTACAAGCGTAAACTGAAACCCGATATAATTTGGATGTGATCATGGACTTGCTAAATCGTACAATACGTAATAATTAGATTGAACAATATTTGCAAATTTAAGACTGCATGGGACACCAATCCTGAATTTCTGTTTCATCGGTGTATGTATCGTCAAAATCGTCTAAATAAAATCGACTAAATTGGCATGAAACTTGGATTACATGGTTTTAGCACATTTACATATGCATTTACATATGGTACATATTTACATATGGTTGGATCATTTGAGTCGCTCATCCGAAGTATCAACGTTCCCGGTAAACTCATAAGTTAGCCCCCAAACGTGTTAACATGCCTGCAACAATCGCTAGGAAAAGACGTAGAGAAGATATGTATCCATTATCTGTAGATTACATAATTTGTGATTGGGTACTTTTGCAAATTTTTACAAAGAAGTACAGGCCCATCATGCTGCAGCGGTCACCCTGGTGCCTTTTGCACCTTCAAAATAACCAAATTTCAATTATACTTACTTTATGTAGAACATATGTACATATCACAATGGGACACAATCCAATCAACTATGGTGAGCTGTGGGCTGTCCTATTTCGACAAAATCAGTGCTCGCCCTAGCAAAAAAGCTGCTATTTTGCTATTTTGCTTTTTTGCTAGAAAAATCAGGTTTTTTCATATCAAAAATTGATGCTTTTTTGCTATTTTGCTGTTTTTGCCATTGGTGCCCCGCTAGATGGCGACATCAAAACAGAAAAAAAGAAATCTAGCAAAACACCATTGAAATTGGTGCTTGTTGCTTTTTTGGCGAACACTGGACAAAATATTGGTAATTGCTTCTCTATTTACCAACATAATTAGCTAATTATTTTATTATATGAAACCTGCCCACATAATTGTCCTGGTCAACTGGACACCACCCTTGCCTCACATTCATAAATTCTTCAACCTTTACGTCACCGCATTCTGTGCACCATTTGACTGAAACTTGCCAACTTTTCTTTCAAATTGAACTAAAATGCCTTCCACAAGTATCCCATTACCCCTCAGGATAATCCAATTGCTCGGCTACTTTCCAATCCCATTCCATACCGCAGAATCACCTCAACCATCCAACTTAAGAAATCATTCTACCAAACGTATTCTCCCATTCCACAATAAGATTCCCACTTTCCTGTCAAAACTATCCAAATCACGCATTATCCCCTTAATCCCACCTATTTTCTTCATCCTCATCTCAATCTCAATGACAGCCATATTTTTCCTAAATTTCTCAACCATGGCGAACTCCTCCGACGTCCGTTCCCGCCTGAAGAGGAAAGGTGGCAAAATATTTTATTCTGCCCTCATCCTAAAATCCTCTTCACACATTGTTTGTTCCACCTTCGTCAAGTTTGACATGGTTTTCTCCAAGAGGACCCAACTTGCCGAGTTTTACTACAATTTTACCAATTTTTTAACCAACGTTTCTCTCCACTTTACCGGAAACTTTACCAATCGTTTCGAAAAACGTTTTAATATCGAATTTTTTGTATTTCTTGGTATCATTACGTTTTGGAATATCGAACTATTTTACGACCTGACAAATATTAGATCACCAATCTATTTCTATGTTTACTTTATCCCCTTAATGTTGGGATATTTACACTCAATATTTGTCTTTTTGGTGCTCCATTTCCTTAATTGGTATCTCGAAATTGTCGCCCGGATCAGGATCGCGGCTCAGAATAAATTAGAGTTTTATCGCGTCTTGAATCTTGACAAGGTACCGATTGAGTTGGAAGACGTGTATCCCCAAAACTCTGGGATATCTGCAAATTCGGACAACATATTGCGAAAAAATGGCTCTCTAAATTGCACCGATTGCGAAATTTTGATCGCATTTTATAAAAAAGTAGCCCTCCAAGTGGACCAGTTTAATTCCTTGTTTCGACTTTGGATAACCATTGATGTGCTGCACAGCTTGTTGAGGATTGTCTTTTCCGGATATTTCATCTCTTCTTTGATCTCCCGACCCGGATTCAGGTGGCGTTCAGTGGTTCAGAACTGGTTAACGGTGGTTCTCTATTTGTACCTGATTTACAAAATTTGCAAGAAAGGGTCCGATTTATGTAAGGGGAGTAAAGACACGAAGGAAATATTGGAGGAGTTGTCGACATATGAAAATGTTCCGGTAAGTTGAGTCCATTTTTTGGGGTTGAAAGACATGAAAAAATATCCTGTAATTCAGGATTCGATTTCTTACGCCGTTCTGCAATTTCTTGCAGTTCGTGCAGTGCAAGAAACTGCAAGAAATTAGCACCCCACCCTTTCTACTACAATAGTAGCACGAATGTCACGCTAGGGGCGCATATTTCTCGCACTGCAAGAAATTGCCGCAAAAAGTCATTCGTAAAGAACAATTTCTTGCAGTAATTTCTTCCACAAATTTTTAAACACTGCGGTAATTTCTTGTATTTTTTTAATTTTCAGAAAGATTCAGCAAAGATGAAAGTCATAAGGGTCACAACGGATTTTTTTAACGTGGACTTGAAAATTATTACACCCGTGAGGCCAGCAAAATTATAAAAAAATAATTCTTAGTAATCATCACATTTAGTTTTGCTTTTGTTTGGTGAGCTAGATAATTGGGTCCGTGACGACGTATTTGCTGGTGCTGATCCAATTCCAAAATAGTGATTGTTCATGTAATTATGGCGAAAAGTAGCAATTTATAGTGACAACTTGCCACTAACTAATTGCTATTGTAAACCTCTAATAATAATGGTTGCGGTAATGTCTATGAACACCAGGAGGTTGTACACTCTCTGGAGATAAAAAAGTTGATACTTATTAACATTTGGCGGGATCCCATGTGGCATTTTTAAAGCTATATTTGATTAAATTTATATTGAAGTTTGTTCCCGATTGACCAAGTTGGTACTGAACACGTATTGAGATCGTACTTAAGGGACGAAAAGACGAACGCAAATACGTTCTTGGCATGGGCCAAAGACCGTCTAGTCTGAGGTAAACGGGCGCCCGGAAACGTACCTTGTTCGTCTTAAGCTGGTCCGTTAATACACTAATAGAACCAACTGAGAACATCCGTGGCACGACCCTTAATACGTTCTAAATACGTTCTCAAATGGTGGAAATATACTATCGTGGAACTGAATTTGGACAAGACACAATATTCATTTCGATTCAGTTTATTACATTTTAAACTTACGAACGATTAAATTATTATAAAAGTAACACATGTTAACTATTATGGTGTAACTTGTTCTGTAGATTTCGACATCATCTAAAATAAATATATAAAAAATTAGATGTTTGTTGGAATCACATTGATGGAATCACAAGAACGAATTTGTATACCTTTTTCTTCTTGTTGTCGATCCTTGTGGTCGCCTTCTTGAGCCATTCTCCAATACTTCCATCGATTTCCTTGTTTGTCGCGGTTGACATTAGAGGATTTTTCCGTACCGCCACTAAGATTCAAAATAAACCATAAAATTATTTACAAACAATTCATAAATGAATGCATAATAATTATTACAGTAAACGCAGCCTGTAATTCTTTCGTGATCACGAAATGATTGTTTTCCACCACGAGTTCCTGCATAGCTGATTAAGGTCGCTAACTCGTTGGTCATCAACAGCGCCAGTACCCTGTAGATAGCATCAGTTCCCTTGCTCCCAGAGACACTTAACCGCTTCACCTACATATTTTAAAACATATTAGCAAAAATACGGAATAATCAATGTATATTGTGCTGCCAAAACAAAACAACTTGTACCAATGATGAACGAATTTTGGGGTCCATTAACTTAGCTTCGAGCTCTTCAAAATCCGCGACATTCTTTAGGGGGATCTCCAAATCGTCCGATTCAGCTTCCTCGATAATCGTTGTATTTTGTCGGACAGCCAGATGAAAAGTCTCTCGAAGTTCGTTCACACTAGCTTGAAGGTAGTCCAGCTTTCTTAATATAATTTCTATAATAAATAATTATATATATATTTATAAAGCCCAACGATTTTTAGGATTAAGAGGTATATGATAATTATTACCATCAGTATGAGAAAAAACTGGTAGCATTGATGGATTATTGATTCCACTACCCTGTAACCGTGAATTATCCTGTCTCTGAGCTGTTAAAAAATTATAAATGCAATGAATACTTGGTTACTTGTAAATGCAACTATAATAGAGAAATTCTACTACAAATAAGTGTGGTGGGCGTCATTAAAGGGGTTGCAGTGCTACTTCGCTGAGAATTCTCGCTAAAATCTCTAGTTGACGAAGTTCGACGCTCCTGAGAATGATTTTCGTGTTGACTCTTGCTCCCACCTGGAAATACACGAACAATTTTATTAGAGTATATAATATATAAAATAAAAATATTAAAACCAAAAATTACTTACAAGGTGGAGAAGAAGAATTAGTAGACATACAGTTGTGGTCTGGTGAATTTGAAACAAGTGGCTCATTTGGTTGCACCTTATATAGGTAAAAAAAGAGTTAAGTTTTGCATTACATGGCACGCAGTTATATAATTACCAATACTAAAGTCGGCATTTTGAATTTGGATGTGCCAGGAGAGTGTTGAACCTAAACAAATGGACTGTATTAGTTTGAAGTTAATAATTCGCTAACTAATGCCACACATACCTGGCCATGTGTTTTCCTCTTTACATGTGGCAGCGACTTTTTTGGTGGACTTTCATCGTTCTCGTCTACACCATCTAATTCCTAATCGAAAAGTCTCCTGCTCACGGCTTTACGTCGGTGGCCCCGTCCTAACTCAGTTGAACTGCTTAATTCAGCGCCGTCTGCTAGACGGGGAAGTTTACGCCAGGCGTCCTCGTATGTCACTAAATAAAAAATAGCAAATATAATTTTATCTAGGTTATAAGGTTTAGGTTATTGAATGGTATAACTTTCTGAGCAACAATTAAATATGCTGGACGAAACTGAAACAATTTTTCTTACCAAATCTTTTAAGAACTTTAACTTCATATATTTTCCACGACTTTGCATCTGGAGAATCACCATTTCGGACTGATTTTTCCAGTTTTTTGTATTCTGTTTTTGTAAACTGTGGCCAATAAGTGTGTTGGTGACCATCGATTTCTATCAGCCAATTCGAATTGACGATGTCAATTTCTTGCCTGGAGATAAAATCGACTACGACGAACGGAAGACTTGGGGGACTAGCATCCATTATGTATCACTTGTGTTAGCACACGAGTTTGAAGACTGCAAATTTGTCGTTGACAGCCAATCCTATACACTTTTTGTAGATATCACCGACTGAAAAAATAGTTTTGTCTGTTAGTTTCATAAAATTTGCACTAATAACATTTGATGACGCTGGAATTTCGTAAATTGGTGAAATTACGTTTAACTTTCTAGCTTCACAAATTATTTCACCTTCAATTAAAGTTAATTTGGTAAGTTTAACGAAATCTCCATTCTTAAGTAAGCATAAATTGTCCCCTAATGTTGGTCTAAGGCAGATGTGTGAATATTTTATTTCCATTATTTCGGTCGCGCTTCTATTATACTTTATTGTGGGTTTGAGATTTTTACTCTCTAGTGGTGCTCGAGACTTAATTTGTTCACAAATTCTATTGTAAACTTGCTCTAGAGGTTTATTTCCACCTTTTAATGATTGCTTAATTATCCCAAGTCTATTTTCGAATCGGAATGCACTAAAGTCATCCAGATGACCTAATTTTAACGAATCACTGGCAAGGTGGATTAAACCATGAATATTATATGAAACTTGTTCATCACCGTAAAGTAGTGGAAAAGTATTTACGAAGTATTTCAACAATTCACTTATTGCATATAAATTATGTGATTTATATAATTCTTCACTACAAAGAACTGAGATAGCAAAATGTAAGCACAGGAAATGATCATAATATTTTTGCGGCAATATTTCTTTAAGGACTAGAGGTCCAGTGTAGAGAATAAATTGGCGAAACTCAGTTGCTTTCCACCGTTTTAATTCGCTAATACTTCGGGGTTTTCTACTAAACTCTCTGGGCACATGCGGTTTTAAATTTATTAAATTTTTTGATAAAGTCAATCTTTGTTGTACAGAAATGCGTACTCGTTTCACAATTCCTGACGTCCAGATGATAAGTAGTTTTTTTACGACTCCCAGACAGACCAAATGCATAAACTCGAAAGGAATTTGATCTACTAAGTTTAAATTTAACGTTTCGAGTTCGGAGCAACCATGATGGTTTTCTTCGTCCACTTTGTTTCGAAACGATTCATTAGTTCTCAAGGCGCTGTTAGTTTCAAGGAACACTACACGATTTTTAATATAGTCAACTTCTACGGTACATTTTCCGCAACCGAAATATCCTGTATGATTCTTAGCATTTAGTATGAAAGCCCGTGCTGGCGCATCACAAATTAATGAATCAATCTCAAAATTCACTAATTTTGTGCCTATATTAATCCCTGACTTATTTATTTCCATCCACTCTTCCACAAATTCACTTAAAAAATCACAGCTTAGTTTAGGTTTTTCATTTCCAAAATAAATACCAACCTCGAACACTTCTTTTGTTCCTTGAATATGCCCTAGGATAGGCCAGAATTGTTGCCCACTACTTTTCGAAATCGGAAGTCCATCAAGATTAAATTGTAAATTAAATTGATTACCATTTTGTTCAACAAATACTTCACTTAACAATGAACTCAACTGTCGACGAAGTCCAAAATGACAGTACTGACCTGGTTGTATTTCTCTGATTGGAATATTTCTAGGAGTTGCGAGAAGGCTCCTTCCGTCGTCTGGGAGGACAGACTCGAAACACTTATGCTGTCGAAGGATTTTTAGTAGTTCCGATGTAGCGCTTCTTGTGATTCGATTTTTTATTACCCACTTTTCAAGTTTATACTTCGTATCACTTAAACTTGAAGAAGGAGGAGCACAATTATCAACTGAATTGTCAAAATTTGGATTAATACTACTATAAGATGATCGAGTTCTTTGGTGTGGTGAATAATTTTCCAACAGATTAATTTGAGCTGGAGCAGAAATGGTGTCACAAGTTTCACAATTTAAAATATAACCAGAACGTGTAATTGAAGAGTTCAATAGCACTCGGGAATTTGCGAAATTTTTTACAGCACGTCTTTCTACTCTCTTAGTCGAATTCCTATACATCCTGCCTCCCGTAAAGCGAGCACCAGACTGAAGGCAAAATATCTAACCTGATAGACCATGCCAATAATTTGGATTTTGCGCGGCAATTTGATTGGTTCGTGCCAAGGACGTCCTTACTTTGAACCGATTTAAATATGATGTTGCGTTGAGACCATCTAGTGGTGGTGCTTTTTTTGTTGGTCCATGTACGTGATAAGGTGGTCCCTGTGGTACCGAAAAAAAGTAGACCAACTTAACACGTATCGTACTGGTACCCAAAGTACCGGACGAGATCAGCATGAGTGGCACCAACTCACTACGTGTTGAGACGGAACTGGTCAATCGGGTTAGAAATCGTGTGTAACCAAAAAAAAACTTAGTAAAATATAAAATCTTTATTTTGAAACCTTCACAAAGTATTGTATAAAAAATATCTTATTAATTTGGAGTTTGAAAACGAACTTCTGATAAAAAAAACAGTAAGGATATGGCGACAGGGAAAAAAGTGGGGAAATGATGTGGAGAAAAAGTCGCTCCAAAGGTGAAAAACGAAAAAAAGAACAGGAAAGATGAGGCGAAAAACTCGCTCCATAGGAGAAAAAGAAACCCCCGTGGTGAAGAAAGACCGGCAGTATTTTAACAGTACAATATTAAAATTTAATTTTAAGTAAAATTGTAATTTGAATGTCGTCGCTGCATGTGGTTGAACAAACCTTGCTGTGACAGAAACAGGGTATTGCATTCCAAGGAGCGATAGGATAGAGTAGGTGGTTGGATTTCTTGAAGGAGAGGAACGCCTAGGATATGAACGGTTGGCTTCCAGTCTACAAGTTTCTGATTTAAAAGAATTTCATTTCCGGCAAGTTTGATAAACTTGAGTTCATCTGAAACATAAATTTAATGTTAAAATATTACAATGTTTGATCATTCGTCTTAGTACCTTGATTGGTCAGGACTAAAAGCGTGTCATTTGAGTAGGGGTCCTTCACAGGTCCTACCTCCGACGTTGTCGCTGGAATTCTATAGATACCAAAAGTATCTGCAAGTTTGTAAAATTGTTTATTAAATAAAAATTTAAAAAATTCCTTAAAATTCATATTTTGGTTAGTATTATTTCTAAACAAATATAATTGCTTACCATCTGCAGTATTCAGGGGATACAATCCGTGAATAACTTGGTTACAGAGGGGGCACTTGGCCGGAAGTGCTGGGGTCAAACTAAGTGCTATCGAATTTTTTCATCCTAATGTGCTCGACGATACACGGAAAGTGAAACACGTGGTTGCATCGATGCACACTTTGCCCGATACCTACCCCACATGTGTAAATGTTTTGATTTCGTTCGACGAAATCATCATACGACACATTCTTCGTCAAAATTATATTTGGCCATGCTGTAGAATTTGTAATAAAATTTATATTCCAGGAAAAATAATTACTTAAATTGACGAATCAATAATAAAATTTGTCGGAAATACTTGCCCAACTAATATGGGGATAGGTTTATCCTCACCAATCAATTTTCTTACCTTATTAGTGACCAGGGTTTGTCAGGATTAACGTTATTTGTAAATAAGGAGCAGGTGGGCAAATTAATAACAGCTGTGGAGGAAGGTTGAATGGTAATGATTACCTGCCAGCTTGCAGATAGGAAAGCCGGCGCACAACGTGTCCTGCTCGAACTTGCCTCCAATCTCTTGCGCATGCGAGGTATATTGAGAATGTGATTGGGGCAACATAAGATTGGGTGATTCCCTTGAATCTTCAAAATTGGTTTAGTTTGATTTTTACTGAGTAGGAAAAGTAAGGTGGTGAACGATGCAAATGTATAGATTATTATTAAATTATATTTTGGATTTAAACCATGACAAATAAATAATAAGAAAACAAACATGTGTTTTTGCTCCCTAGACTCTACCAAATGTTCAATTTTCCGCCAAATAAATTGCCAAATTTGTGTTTTTAGAAGAATCTAAAATTAATTGCAGCGATTTCGGCCGCAGCTACATGTACTTTAATTGTAGAGTTTACGCATTATCATGACCTGACTGTAAATAAAGTTTCGATCGAAGCTATATTTCGAGTTTGATGGAAATAATATCTGCTTGACAACGATAATTTTGGGTTACTTGAAATCATGCAACACTTACTCCGAAGAATATTTTCGAAATACATGATATCAAGTACATGGTATCCATGGGAAAGTTTTCGTACTGCTTGAAATCGTGGAGTTAGTAGCCAAGTGATCATATTTGTGATACATGAAATCAAGTATTTGGGATGCAACGATTTCCCATGCGTTACATGATATCATGTAAAAAAGGGCGATGAGGTTAAGAATAGTCCAGACTTACTTACAAGAACTTACGCGCCGTAGAAATCTGGTTGCACTTACCCGGTGAAAGTACCACCAGATATTCCTTTATTTTACTCACAATTAATACAGATTTATTCATACATAATCAATGATTATTCATCATACATAGATATCCTTCCGAAGTGTCAACGACCATGTAAGCAAATTATTCAACTCGCTAAATTAACATCAACTCATTTCGTGGCATTATGTACAATTTTACTTATTTGTCGTAAGTACTGTATTTGAAAGCAGAAGGACAAATAGATAGAAGGATTGCAGTAGACCGACCTATATATATTTTACACGAGAATGTACACGAACACGAACTTCAATACAATAAGGTGATGTATGTAGCTATATCTCCAATCTCCAGTCTTTATTTTCGGCCGGTTTTTGAATTTTTACCACACTTGTGATGACGGAGAACGTTTGTGAGGACAAATCTTCCCTTGCAAATAGAACAACTCAAACATTTTTCGGGATGTAGCCGAAGGAAATGTTCCATCCACAGGAGGGTGTTTCGAAACACGGCGTTGCATAGCTGACACACATAGGTGGATTCAGGCCTCTACAAAAGCAATAAATTAATACTTCCGTGGTAACAAATAATTTCATAGAACTGAGAGGTCACTATCCAAGTAGAATTAAAAATCTGGCATTATCCAAGCCAATAGCTTATCTCCCCTCAAAATCCATGTCCAACTTTTTCATGATAATCTTTTTCTTGAATTTTAATCTTAAAAACTGGAAAATATATAGCAAATTTGTAAAAATTAATTCCAAAGCGAAAAAAATGAAAAAGAGTACAAATTTAAGGAAATAGTCATTTTTGAATTAAATTGTATCTTAAATTTGTGATATACACACGTCCCCGTTTTCATGACGGGACTTTTATAAAATTTTATGACAAAAAGTGTCACGGATTTTGTTGGATATAAGCTGTCTTATTCTATTGATCGACTGTATGTAAATATTACCATTTTTGGAGAGTCACACATCTCCAAATGCGTCACCCATTCCGCATCCGAAGCAAATTCCGTGACACATCCGTACGGACAGGACGTCCTGTCTTGGAAATGGACCAGCTCAACATGTCGATGAATACATGTCGCCGTGGTGAACGTTCTTTCACAAATGTCACAGGAATGACCCTTCTTCGCGCGGATACCATGACACTGTTCCATGTGGGTTTGCAGTACAGATGTCTTCATGAAGGTGGCCGGGCACCAGGCACACTTCCGGAGATAACCATTTCCAGCCTTTTCGTGAACATAGCGCGTATGCCGGCGTAAATTGAATTCCGAATTGAATCGTTTCTCACATTTCAGACATGGAAAGCGTCCAGCTTGTTGGAGAAGAGATCTGCATTTTGTAAACAAAATGTATAAACTTTACAATAGTTTGGGAGAGTATGTTTGAACTGGAAACATCATAAGCGTGGATTCCACTTTAAATTAGGATATTTTTCGTAAATAATTGCCAAACGTGATAAAAAATTGTGAAAATTTGTTTAGATTTATGTCAAAACATAGTTGTAAAATTGAAAATATAGTTGTACAATTGGATTTTCACTCTTTCAAAATAAACAGTTAGTTTCCTATTTTTGCTGATAAACTAAATACATAACTTTGATATATAAAAACAAGTATGTACATATCTTTCCCATTCAGCCTTGGAATAATTTCCATTGTAAATTAGGATATAATTATGGTTGAATTAAAATTTTGCAACTCACTGTTTCCTAATCCTTTACGGTATGAGGGTGCTGTTGTGGGAAAGATTATTTCAATTTTAACATTAGTATTTCATCAATTAGACTTTTTGAAAAATGTAGTAAACTTGAAAGGATTTAGTAATTAGACTCACCCGTAATATGGGTATTTGGATGTATATTTCTGTTGCCCATGTGCATAAAAAGAGTTCTAAATCTTCCAAAGGTTTTGCCACACATTGTACAAACATGTTCCCGTTTCGATTTTCGACCTCTTGCCACCTCTGACAAACCTGGAATGTAGAGCGGATCTTCTCTGATTTCATCATCGCCATCCTTATCGATTGACTCCAGCTTTATGGCAAATTCTTCCTCCTCAACGAATCCAGTTAATTGGTCGTCGCCATGATTTGTCACTACGTCAGCATGACAACCAGCGTCCGGCAATTCTGCACAAAATGCATCATTTAGTCAAATCGTTAACTCAATTTTTGAAAATGTTTCCATTCCTACCAATTTCAGTTTCTCTTTTAACTTTCCTAAAGATTCGGCTCCTGCTGGAAATAACGGCACGCAGGGAAATCGTAATGTTTTCAATTTGCGTGGTCAACTTGGCCAACGAGTGGAGGACAGAGGAGCAAATTTTACAACAAAATATTGCACTATAATCCTCAGTTTGTAAAATGAGGGACATTTGCCCCCCATTTAGCACGAATTTGGTAAGAATGTCCATTTCCTGGGTAGCAATTGGACGCAAATTTCTCGATTCAGAGCAGATACAACACGACCCAAGTATTCCGGTATTTTCACTAATTAACCCGTAATCCTGGTGGTCTTTCTTTGAAAGAATAATATTTGACCTAGCGATTAGCACGGTGGACGAAAGTAAATCTTGCAAAATGTGTCCCGTCCCATTTTTTGTGCCTTCTCTCGGCATATTTTCTGTGAAAGTAAATACAAAATTTTGCTTGTAGAAATAATTATTTTCTATTTTGTATTTCTTAAATGTTAAAGGCAAGTGGACTTTATAAAATGTACCTTTCATTTTAATTAATAAATACAATTTAATGTATAAAACGTTGAGTATGGTTACTTACAATTTATTAGTAAAATGAAAATGACTCAATTTTGAAGAATTTTGAAAAATACGTAGATAGATGGACGATCCAATTTTAATTTCATGAGCTGACTGAGCTTTTTTTTTTATCACCGGCTGATATTGTGTATTTCGATCTAGCAACCGCGGTGGTGGTGGACGAGTAGAAATCAATTTTCATACTCTTTGTTGTGTATGTTTTTCCATGAAAATGCGTATATGTATGTATTTTTGTACATAAACTATTGGACATGATTTTCCAATCTGATAATCGGATATTTGGTTACATCGGATTCCATTTTTTTCTTGTCCAGCGTAAGGAACGACGTTTCTATTAATAGTATTATTATTCCTCGCATGAGTTTCAACCTTGGTGAAATTGTATCTTATTTTTTTACACCATAACAACATATTCATGTATTTACATACATGCATTATCGCATATGTATTTTTTATTACGGCATTTAATAATTTGACACAAATTTCACTGTAGTGGGCAAAATACATGATCTCCAATACAAAATACACTCAAAAGTCCAAAATACGTTTTTATTTTAAAATACATTTCTTAAATATTGAACAAAATATTGTATAAACTACTTTTTATTTTTCGAAAAAGATAAAAGTTTTATGAAATACAGTCTTATATACAATAAGGGTACTCATTACGAGTTCGCACATGTTGGCATGAAATTTTGGCTTGAGAATTTATGTATTTGCCAACTCCAAGGCATATATTTCGTTTGCAAAATATATTTTTGCAATCTTGTTACGAATATGCACACTTGTAACTTTTGGGTGCGCCGCACTTTTTTCCTGAGTGTAACACCGCACCGCACCGCACCCCGCACCGCACCTTGTGCGGTGCGGGTGCGGTGCGGTCGTTGGAAAAATTGTGAAGGTGCGGTGCGGGTGCGGTGCGGCCATTGAAGAAAATATCAAGGTGCGATGCGGGATGCGGTGCGGGCATGGACAAACATGTGAAGGTGCGGTGCGAGTGCGATGCGGCCATTGAAGAAAATATCAAGGTGCGATGCGGGATGCGGTGCGGGCATGGACAAACATGTGAAGGTGCGGTGCGAGTGCGATGCGGTAATTGAGAAGTGCGGTGCGGGGAAAAATGAGATAGTTAAACTTAAAAAAACTGCGCATACTTGAACTTGACTCCACCGTTCATACCTCCTAAATTATTACTCCACAATTGTAAAATAGTTAATACTAAATATGTACCATGTCGAAACGCCGGAGGTTAAATGATAGTCAGGATAAGAAGGTTGCCAATAAACAGAGATATGTATATATACTTTTTAAATAACAAAAAGGGAACAACATTCTGTTGTTCCGTCCTCACTATTGTTAACCTTTTTTGGTTCAATTCATTTCTTTTGTTTAATACAGTTTACCCAAAATTTTTACAGTTGGAAGGCCGACTTTCTCTCTTGCTTTCAGCAATTGTTCCTCAAAACAAAGTGAAATTTGTTCATTCAATTGACACAAAGTATTTTAAACGAGTTGGACAAGGTCAACTGCAGAAGTTCACATGTATTCATCCTTCCTTACAGGTCAAGGATACAAATTCTGAGGATATTTGTGACTAAGTACTGTCTTCAGAAGGAGTTGTATAATAATTTGCGGAAGCATTTGGTAATTAATGACTTGTATAAAAAATTTTGTTAATTAGCAAATATTGAATAACAATCTAGATTGTTGCTCAATATTTCGAGAAGCTCACTTTAAGTCTTAAAGCGCCCAATGGGCAAAAATCGCAGTGATCGCTGCGATATCGCTCAAAAAACTCGCTGGCGAGATTGCAGCGAAGTGCAGCGATTAACTTGCGATAACAGCGCTAAAAGGTCATCCAAACTAAGCGATAAAGTAGCTAGATAGCAGCGATCTTTTAGATGATAATCGCAGCGATTCGCCACGAACTCGCAGTAATGCTCGCAGTGACATCGCAGCGATTCGCTCCTTATTCTCTCAATAATTCGCTGCGAAAACTGCACGATTTCGTAGGGTTAGAATTTTTATTTCGTATGAATTATTTATTGATTGCTGTTAAAATTTAACAATGGGTGTAATGGATTAAAAAATAACAGCATATAAATACTAAAGATTATTATTGTGAAGTTTCCAAGTTTATGTCATCATCTGACCTCTTGCTGGTTTCCTTCACCTCCACGATGGGCTTACTATGGAAAATAATTTAAGGAAATGTATTCACATTTATTTTAAATAGTTAATACTTAAAATCACTAACTTTTTCAACCGACTTCGATCTGCTGCCTTCTTTAATGTCTTAGGGATGGCATTATTTAAATTTTCAAATGTCGCAAGTGGCTTTGTCCTTGGATAGCTTGCAATCCTTCTAATGGGAAAGTCGAAAAATTTTAATTTAATTTTATCATTTTTATAACAAGTACTGAGCGAACCTAATAGCACATCCATAAGACCAGAATATGACGTGAACGATAACTTTTTGCCCTTCCCTTTGAAACTGTGGATCCCTGAAACCTCATCGTCTACCAACTTCGCAAACATTAAATCGACAGCTCTCTCGACATTGCTTCCCCCACATCCCGCTAATATGGCGACCTATAGATACATTACACAAAACTAATTAACTTTTGTTCTCATACTTTTCTACGTACAAAAAATCGTTTACCATTTTTTGCTTAGCCGAGGAATTATTTAACATCAAAGAATCAATCTCTCGTAGCTTGGTAACACTCGTGACTGGAAATGTGTTTACTTGAAATTCATAGCACCCATCATCATTCTTATTGCTGGCTAGCTGTTCGTCCAGTTGACTAATAATTGAGTTCAGCAAGGATCCATGTTCTTGAAGGGTAATTGTAATGGCTTCCAGCTGCTTCAATACTTCAGATTTGAACGCTAATAAATATACAAGTAATTAAATAATTAAAAAATAAATATTATTCTCCACCTACCCGAATCATCATACACTACTGGAACCGATAAAAATTGTTGAGATTCCACATTCTCATCTGGTGCCACTCCTTCGTCTACTTGGTCATGGTTCATGGTAGAATTAGGAACTTTTGTAGGCGACACCAGCCCAAGGACGAAGTTGCTTGGCGACTGTCCTGGCGATTGCAGTGGGTGAGTGGGTAACTTTGGGGAGACGCGGTGGATGGTCTTCTTCCCTTATCTATGTCGGACAGATCCGAAGTGGCTTCAGCAGCAGCAAGCTTCTGTCTAGCAGCTTTATAGTCTTCTGAAAAACATTTAAGGCGCTGTTCATAAATTATGTAACGCGTTATAATATGTATGAGGCTAAATGAGAAAATACAAGCGCAATAGCTTGAAATAATGACGCTAGTAGTATTTTGTGTGTCAAGTTGAGTTGAGATTGCGAGATCAACATTTTTGAGAAGATATTTAATTGCTAAGATAGATTTGTAATTATTATCACTTTATGAGTAATTGTAATAAAATTACTCATAGTTAACAGTGAACCAAGATAGCTGAGTTCAACTGACTTTTTATGAAGTTTCATTCTGTCGACACCATCACATTCTTTGAGAAGAAACTTTTCTACGGGTAGTAGGACTGATTTCATAACATTTGGTGACCTCGACGTGATCGAGTGTCGAAACAGTCTGAATAATAATAATAGTGACCTGTTTGTGAATACACTTCAATTAACATACTCGAGGCAGCTAAGGACGAGTGTGTGAGAGTGACGGAGCAACAGGCTTATCTGAAATATTTCGAGTTCGAGCAAGGAGCAATCATCCAAGGAAGGAATTGCCGTTTTGCCTCTTTGAGGACCCTACCCTGAGTATTCGGGGGACGATCAGGTGAAAGTTTTCCTTTCTTACTGTGTTTGGGAGACCAGATAAAGTAAAGTCTACCCTGCCGGAAGGAGCTGAAGTTCCATTGAGACGAGGATATCTTTTTTAACACCTGTATTGCCTCTTTGAGGGCCCTATCCTGAGCGTTCAGGAGCGACTGAGGTCACTCTCGTCCAGTTTGATTTACTGATTGATTCAAAAATATTAATTTTTGTCTTTTGCTGGCTTTGTTGATCCTGAGATTTCGTCATGGAGCTACTTAAGCAGGCCAGGAAACCAACGAGGTCATCGATAACCAGAACCATCAACGAGATGGAGACCGAATTGGTGAAAGAGGAGCCAGATCGTCACAAGCTCGGTGTCCAGATGAAGAAGCTGGATAACCTGCAAGTGAAGATGAGCGACTGGGACTCTAAGATTTTGTGTGAGATGCAACAACAAGGATGCACTGATGACCAATACAGTCAAGAATGTGCAGAAATCGAGGCATATGATGACAGGATTTTGGATGTCAAACTCAAAGTAGAAGAATTTCTAAATCCTCCATTTCAATTATGTCCCCAACGTAGAGAAGATAGTCCCACCAACAGTGCGGCATGGTACGACTCTGTGGCTGGTTCTACATCAAAGAGGAAGAATTTTAAGTTGCCAAAAATTGTTCTGAAGAAATTTTCTGGCGAAATGATGGATTGGCTTGGATGGTGGTCTCAGTTCGGAAAGATCCATGAAGATGATGATATCCACACAACGGATAAATTTCAGTATCTTCACCAAGCAATGACTAAAGGGACTCGAGCCATGGATCTAGTTGAGAGTTATCCAATGACGGCTGAGAATTACCCCAAAGTAATTGAGGCGCTTACCCAGCGATTTGGGAAGCCGAAGATTTTAAAACAAGTATATGTTCGAGAATTACTTAAATTAGTGATCCGAAACTCTAAGTCAACTGAGAAGATACAGTTGTCTGTGCTGTATGACAAATTAGAGTCTCATCTCCGTGCACTCGAATCGCTTGGAGTGACACATGAGCAAACTGCTGAGTTCCTGTTTCCAATGATCGAGTCCAGTCTCCCCGAGGACATCTTCGTAGCATGGCAGAGGAGTTCACTTTCACGTCAAGATGGATCCAAACGCGTCCCAGTGAAGACCGAATCGGATTTCTTGATGGAATTTTTACGAGAAGAAGTGGAAAGTGAAAGTCAGAGGGATATTGTGCGTGCTGGTTTCGAGACAATAAAGATTAAGAAAGAAAAGACTGCAGCCATAGAGAAGAAAGAAGAACTTCCTACCAGGGTTATTCGCAGGGCAAACCAAAAACTGTGTGTTCTGCTTCAAATCCAACCATCTAAGTCAAGAATGCCGAAAAGCTGAGAAGATGAGTTGTGATGAGAAGAGTCAAGTCATCAGAAAGAATAAACTGTGCTTCCGGTGTCTGATATTTGGACATCGTCGAGGAGACTGTAAAGTGAAATTGAAATGTCTCAATTGTGGCGACGCTCATACGAAGCTAATGTGTCCATTGTTGCCATCTAATCAAAAGTTGCAAGATGCAAATGGGAGGAAGACAGAGTTTGAAGCTGCAAGTTCAAATGAGCCTACCTATTCTGCTGCGAATGCAAGTCATGCGTGCCGAGATGATGTATTAATGAAGACAGTTCTGGTACGAGTGGTTGGACAAAACGGAAGTAGAATTGTTCGACTAATTTTTGACGAAGGTAGTCAACAGAGTATTGGAGGAGAGTCGGTCATCACAGCGGTCGGAAGCTTGAAATGTGGTGAAGAATGGACTCGAAATGTACTTTTTGGAGGAATCTCGACTGAACCCCGAAAAATAAGCAAATATAAAGTCCAACTGCAGAGCCTAGATGGAAAATGCAAGAGAGAACTCATGTTAAACAAAGCTGTCAGAATTTGTGGGGAGATTTCTCGTATTCCATCCGGTCCATGGATAACAGAGTTACAGAAAAGGAAGATCTGGTTATCAGACTACGAACAAAATCAAGTGGGTAACCCAGACATTGAAATTTTAATTGGGAGTGACTACTGGGGCCACCTTGTCATTGGTAAACGGATTCGTTTATCTTGTGGACTTGTTGCGGTGGAGACCATATTTGGATGGACATTGAGTGGGCCTGTTCCTGGGAAAAGAGATCCAACCATTGGAATGATGTCAATTTCTACGTTCCTATTTAACGCTGAGGCAAGTCTGAAAGAATTATGGGATTTGGAGAAGCTTGGCATTACTGATCCAGCGGAGCACAAGACAAAGAAAGAAAGTGAACAACATGCATATCAGCACTTTCTTCAGACTGTATCAAAAAGTGAAGAGGGAAGATATTCGGTCTGCTTGCCCTGGATAGAAGGAGCAACAAACATTCCGAATAATAGAGTGATAGCGGAAAAGAGACTGTTATCAATTACTGCAAAGTTAAACATGGATGACAATTTTGCACGATATGATCAAGTTTTTAAGGATTGGATGCATGAAGATTTGATTGAGGAGGTTCAAGAAGACACCGTCCCCTGTCACTATCTCCCACATCGCCCAATCATCAAGTTAGAGAGCAAGACCACACCCATCCGGCCAGTGTTCGATGCTTCTTGCAAGGTGGGAAGAAATCCCTCCTTAAATGAGTGCCTGGAGAAAGGTCCCAATTTGATCGAACTCATCCCTGCCCTGTTACTCAGATTCCGTTTGAAGAAGATCGGAGTCATTTCGGACATCAGAAAAGCGTTCCAGATGATCGAAGTTGCAGCTGCGGATCGAGATTTTTTAAGATTGCTTTGGTGGGACGAGAAGAAAAACGTCAAGATATTTCGCCACAAACGAGTAGTATTCGGAGTTAACTGCAGTCCGTTTTTACTTGGAGGCGTGATAGAGCATCACCTGGATCAAGTTCAAGATGAAGAGAAAGATATCGCCATACAGTTGTTGGATTCATTATACGTGGACAATTGTGTTACGTCTGTGGATTCCCAAGAGGATTATGAGAATTTTAAAGAGAAGAGTTCGAATTTGCTGCTGAAGGCTAAAATGGACTTACAGCAGTGGGAGCGGTCGGCGCTGAGTGAACAAAAATCGGATTTCACACCTGAGTTAGCCTCCGTCCTTGGACTCATTTGGGACAAGAACAGTGATGTACTGAGTGTCAATATCCCAACTACAATACTGTCCCAGAAGATAAGCAAGAGATTCATTTTGTCGCAAGTACAGAAAATATTTGACCCGCTCGGATTTGTAAGCCCTGTAACGCTCATTCCAAAATTACTGCTCCAAAAGACTTGGAATGACAAGACCGAGTGGGATGAGGAACTCAACCCGTCAATTAAAGAAGAATTTGAGAAGTGGTTGAATGATATGAAAATGTTAGAGAACGTGAAGATTCCAAGATGGGTTTTTTATGCTAATTCCACATCAAAAATCCAATTTCACGTCTTTTGTGACGCAAGTCAGTATGCATACGCCGCTGCTGTCTACGTTCGAGTCCAGGATGCGGAGAAAGTTACTGTCCAACTCCTACAAGCGAAGGCGAGAGTAGCTCCTCTGAAAAAGATGACCATCCCGAGGTTAGAATTATTGGGGTGCGTTATTGCTGCTCGTCTGTCAAAATCAGTGAAAGAAGCACTTTCAATGGACGATGTCGAAACTCATTTCTGGAGTGATTCCACAACAGCATTGGCGTGGATAAAAAGAAATGATGTATGGGGTACTTTTGTCGGAAACCGGGTAAAGGAGATTTGCTCAATCTCAAAACCGGAAGAATGGCGACATGTGCCAGGACTCCTGAATCCAGCCGATCTCCCTTCGCGAGGAAGTAGTCCTGCAAATTTTGTGAAGACGACATGGTGGGAGGGACCGGACTGGTTGAAGCGCCAGAGGACAGAGTGGCCCTCTGGGCAAGAAGAAATTAACGAAGACGATATTCTTATTGAGATGAAGAAAGCATCGACAAAGATGTTGATCACCCTGAATGGGACACTCCCGTGGTATCTAAAAATGTCTGCCTCCTTCTACAAGAACATTCGGATTATTGCTTTTATGAAGAGATTCATCCGCTGTTTGAAAAAGGAAGGGTCATCTGCTGCCTTAGAACGATGGGAGATATGTGAAGCTGAGAAATTTGTTTTGGGCAGAATGCAAACTGAGTCTTTTCCCATGGATGCAAATGTGATTGAAGGGATTCGCATTGAAAGGGCTGAAGATGGACTAATTCGAGTGAAAACTAAGATAGTGAATATGCCAGAAAGTTGCATATTTACGAGACCAATACTACTACCGAGAAACAGTCTTGCAGTTGCACAGTTAATTCGGACGGAACATTACAAGAATAATCATGCTGGGCTGCAAATTATGATGAGTAAATTGAGAGAGAAGTATTGGATTGTTCACATGCGCCGACAAGTGAAAAATGTCATCAGGTCATGTGTTGTATGCAGCAGATTTACGTGCAAGAAGACGGAAGTGCCTACTGCTCCACTACCGGAAGACAGAGTGAAAACAGCCAGTATTTTCCAAGTGGTCGGGATTGATTTGGCAGGTCCGTTCTTTTTAAAGGACGGCTCTAAAGCATGGATGGTGCTCTTCACGTGTGCCGTGTATCGAGCCATACATTTGGAGTTAGTGACGTCATTGTCCGCGGAGGCCTTTCTTCTAAGTCTTCATCGGTTCATAAGTCGAAGAGGACGACCCTCTACAATATATACGGACAATGGGACGAATTTTGAAGGAGCCAATAATGCCATCAAGCTGTTGGACTGGGCCAAGATACAAAAGGAGACCCAAGTTGATCGTATTTTCTGGAAGTTCAATGTTCCTGCATCACCCTGGTGGGGTGGATGGTGGGAGCGTCTCATACGCATCTGCAAGGATTTATCGAAGAGAATGTTGGGAAGAAAGAAGCTGAATCTTCCACAACTGGAAACATGTATGTTTGAGGTCGAAGCGATCGTCAATAGTCGCCCCTTGACCTACATTTCTGAGGATCAAGATGACCTGGTTCCTCTCACGCCGGCAATGTTTCTACGCGATATTCCGGCAGCCGAGTTTCCAGAGGAGAAAGCATTGGATGCTCAAGCCCTGCGTAATCAACACAGGGATTTGTGCAAGTTACGTGATGAATTGAAGTCAAGATTTGTTAAGGAGTATTTATCCCAACTCGTTCAGCGTGGAACCGAGAAGAAGTCCCGGATTCCAGAAGTTGGAGATATTGTACTCATTGAGTCTGATGATAAGAAGAGAATAATGTGGCCCATGGCAAGGATCATGGAGCTATTTCCGGGAAGAGACGGACACATTCGGGTGGCCAAACTGAAGACGTCGAATGGAACTCTGACCCGACCGATGCAACGCCTATTTCCTTTGGAGGTCTCAACCGAGGAGATACCTCCAATTAACCATAGGATTAATGTTTCTGCACAAGTTTGGAAGCCATCCGCTGAAAAGGAGAAAGAATTTCGGACCCGTTTTGGAAGAAAAGTGATTCGTCCAGTGCGTATGGGAATGGATTGAGTGTGTTAAATATTACATATGATTTCATTTATTATTCAATTTTGTTGTTCATTTATGTTGGTTCTTTTGCTCGTCTTCCTCACAAAAGAGATGGGAGGATGTTGGAATTTAGAGTATTATTTATAATATGTATGAGGCTAAATGAGAAAATACAAGCGCAATAGCTTGAAATAATGACGCTAGTAGTATTTTGTGTGTCAAGTTGAGTTGAGATTGCGAGATCAACATTTTTGAGAAGATATTTAATTGCTAAGATAGATTTGTAATTATTATCACTTTATGAGTAATTGTAATAAAATTACTCATAGTTAACAGTGAACCAAGATAGCTGAGTTCAACTGACTTTTTATGAAGTTTCATTCTGTCGACACCATCACATTCTTTGAGAAGAAACTTTTCTACGGGTAGTAGGACTGATTTCATAACACGACCTATCACACCATGCTATAGTTAACACAACATGATAGGCGTTACGCGTTACATAATTTATGAACACCGCCTAATTTAGAAAAATGGATTTAGGCTGCCAACAAAAATTTAAATCTCTATAAACTTTTGCTTACCAAACCACTTGAACACTTTAATGTCGTAAATTTTCCAATCTTCTAAAGGCGGCCCTCCATTTTTAACAGCTTTCTTAAGTCCTGTGAATCCTTTTTTTGGGGGATACGAACACTTTGTACCATCTGATACCCACGACCTTGGCACAACAGCAACGGAATTCTCTTCAAGGAAAATTACGACGGCATGTGTTGACTTGTCCATCCTTTACCTTCGAATGTAAAAGAGGAAAGATGCCGAAAGTATCAGCTTTTTTGTAAATAGCAACACATTTATATTTAATGTTGCTGGCACTATGTTTTTTATCGCTTTGGCTTAGATCGCTGAGTTTAACTTTAAAAATTTGAAGTAACTTTGAGTCACAAGGATATTCAAACAAACTTGCCAGGGTTTTAAATTGTCTTCCGATTACAAACTGACCAGAATTATCGTTTAAGATTTTTCTTACACTGACAAGCGTCCCGTTATTTAGCAGAACTAAATTATTTGGTGAAACATCTTCTACTTCCGCATATTTAATGGTTACTGTTTTGTCATTTTGGCAATCTGAATGAATATTGACCTGTTCACGTTCAACTATCCTACGGTGAATTTGCTGCAGGGGTTGATTTGAAGAACGAACTAATCTTTTAAGCTGGCCCAGATGATTTTCAAACTTGAAGGCACTAAATGAATCTAGATTTCCGTGTCTTCTCACATCGTCGGCAAGATGAATGAGACCATGGACATTATAAGAAATATTTTCACAACCATAAAGAGTTTTAAATGTCTCAACGAAAAATACCAAAAGTGACTCAGCGTATGAAATGTTTTCTTCCGTTTGATATTCTTCTGCCAATAATCGAACTGCCACACTCAGAGTTAAAAAGTTATTGAAATACTTTTCTTCCACACAATATTTCAAGACGACTGGACCAGTATATAGAAGAACAGTTAGAAAATCTGTGGCTTTCCACCTGTCCAACTCTTTTAAAGATCTGGGCCGCCTAGCAAAGTCTTTGGTAATCCATTTATTTGTGGCAATCAGTTTCTCAGAAAGTGTGGTCGCAGTTTTTGGGCGAATTCTATATCCTAAACGTTTACCGTCAGTCCACAGCTTTAGGATCTTTTTAGTGACCCCCAAACAGACTAAATGCATATACTCGAATGGAAAATCTTGAACCAAATCAATTTGTAAAGCGGTCAGTGGTGTGTCTCCATTATGATGTTTTTCTTGAGATTTGCTTCTAAATGACTCGTCCGTTCGAAGAACTATGTCGTTTTTTAAAAATACAACCCTATTTTGGACGTACTTTCCTTTCACTTCACATTTCCCACAGCCATAATAACCAGTGTGATTTTTAATTGCACAAATGAATGCTCGAGCTGGCGCGTCGCAGATAAATGATTTCGTCGAAACTTTTAATTTACGATCTCTGAAGATAAATCCAACTTCTAATAAATTCGATAACTCTCTCACAAACTCGCCCAAAAATTGCTTCAAATCATTGGGCTTCGAAACCCCAGCATAAATAGCAACAGCAAAAATGCAGTTAGAACCGACGACATGGGCTAAAATTGGCCAAAATTGTAAGCTGCTACTCTTGAAAATTGGAATTCCGTCTACATTAAACTGAAGACATATACATTCGCCTAGTAGGGTGCTTATTTTAGGAAGATTGATCAACAATCCCCTCTGTATCCCGAAATAATGGAATTGCCCGGTTCCAATGGATGTTATGCCTGTTAGTTTTGGCGTCCCTAGCAACGTTCTCGGGTCGAGTGGAAAGTTATTAAAGCAGGAATGAGGCTGTAAAATTTTTAGCAAATCCGCCAGGGCCGACCGTGTGACATTATGGTGTAAACTCCAAGTTCGGATAGATTCAAGAACGGTAAAATTATCACTTTGCACAATAATATTATGGTCACTTACTGAAGGTGGATTAAATTGGTACGATTGTTGGTTAATTGACTCTGCTGTAGAAATATTTATTAATTTCACTACTTGCTCCTCCTGGTTTTCTTTAAATTCTGAAGCGACTTCTTGGCGGACGGTGGCGTAGGGCGAATGTATTTCCCGGTTTGGATACTTAATAATTCGGGAAGATTTACTTAGAAATAAGGAAACTTTTTTATTAATTTGTTGATGTTTTGCCCTTTTGCTGAGTAAAAAACTAAGAGGAGCACATGTCTTCCCCATGCTGTGTCTGATTAACTGAGGAGTAGATATATGTAGTCGTGGGAATCGAAGTAAATGGAGAATGGTTGAGTCGCTTGGCTTTAGCAGCGAATAAGTAGCGAGAACATAGCGAATTTTAGAGTGGCGAAGTCGCTACGATTTCACTTTGAGGGATTCGCCACGAAATAGTGACGAGAACAGTGCGAATTTTCAAGTAGCGAAGTCGCTGCAATATCACAGTGAGCGATTCGCAGCGAAAATAAACCGATTATCGCGCATTATTTACACTTCCCGATATCGCAGGGATATCGGAGAGAATTTTATTGCGATATCGCTGCGAACATCGCTTATTATCGCAATCGCTGGAAAGTCGCTAAAATCGCAGCGATATCGACCAACGATATTGCGCGATTTGCCCATTGGGCGAGCTTTGATCTTAATCCTTTGCAGACAAAGCATGAAATTCTTAATAAACTACCTTTAGAAAAAGCTGCTTACCAATACAGCAATCTGTATCCCAATATATGGGGACAGCCTAATAGAAGTCTTCAACATAGTATAGACATATGTAACTAATAAATACATACAACAACGATATAGAGTTTTGTTTATATGAGTATTGAATTTTGTATTAAATATTTGTATTTATTCCGAAAAAAAAGTTTTGCCTGAGCTTTATGGAAAATTGTGAAAATTAATGCGGATTATTCTAGGGTAATTTTCTAAGATAATGCAGTACCGAGTGCAGTGCGAGGAGATTATTTCAATATATGATAAGGTGCGATGCGGTGCGGGATGCGGTGCGGATGGTTGGAAAAAATTAAGGTGCGATGCGGGGTGCGGTGCGGAAGGTTGGAAAAAATTAAGGTGCGGTGCGGAGTGCGGTGCGGAAGGTTGGAAAAAATTAAGGTGCGGTGCGGGGTGCGGTGCGGAAGGTTGGAAAAAATTAAGGTGCGGTGCGGAGTGCGGTGCGGAAAGTTGGGAAAAATTAAGGTGCGGTGCGGGGTGCGGTGCGGCAACCAAAAGTTACAAGTGTGCGAATATGTAAACTCGTCATGAATATGCTCCTTGTAAAATGCAAAATATTTTTCTCCCTTGTTTAACATAAAAGTAAACTCGTTTAAATTCCTGTACAATTTCGGGTCTTTTATTGTTCTAACAATAAAACCGGATTCCTGTTTTTCTCCCACACATTTCAATCTGGCAAGAATAGAGAAATAATCGAGTGCAGGTGGTTTTTTAAAAATTAGCAAATTCGATAAAGCATAAAACGGGGGATGGCTATGAAATAAAACTGGCGCATGTCATATATTGGATATGATAAACAACTCACAAGCGTCAAGAAAATCCAACAATCACCTAAATCGTATTTTTCGCGAAGGCTTCAACTAATGAAAACAGAGCATTTTTTAATGTTTTTCGCCCATTTAAAGCGTTTGGCGCAGGTCATGGACTAAATAAATTAGGGATAAAAGGCATTTCCGGAAACCTTAATAAACTCGCAACCAAATTTTGAAAAAACTGGTAAAATTCAAGCTTCCGTTACTTTATTACGTCTGTTGTTTCTACTTACATATTAACCATTATTTCCTGTCTTTCAGTATACCATGAAAATACTTGTACATGAAAGCAAATTTTTTACTGATCTTAAAATCCCGTTTCATTATTGTTATGGTTACATGTACAGGAAGAAAATTTATACACTTCTGTTGCAATTTACATCATGAAAAGTTGCACAAAATGCAGGCGATGCCAATTACTTTACATATGCATGAAAGCCTGAACAAAGTATCTCCTTCCCAAAGAGTTAAAGCCACGTATACACAGATTTATTTGCATACTGGATTCGCATACTGGATTCGCAACCCAGCCACCCTTCCCCTTTACATGCTTGAATCCCTCATCCAATTTTTCCAAGAGATGAATACGTATTCCACACAAAATTGATAAGTGGTAAGTTGTCAAATCATTTTCGTATAGGGGGATCCATCCATTTGCCAGCTGTGGTTAAAATTGGCTATTCAAATCAGAAATTAATTACAAATTTGCAAAAAACATAAATCTAAATCATTATTATTTCATATGTGGCATGTGCACACTCCACGTGCAAAATTGTATGACAACAGGTTGTATATGAATCAGTGTAATGCAATTTTTACATTCGTCTCATTTATTAACTCTGTGAATTTGTAACTTGTTTTGTTGCATTAATCGTGTTGCTTGATGCAGCAATATTTTTTCGAAATGGGAAATAATTAAGGGTCCAGTCAGCACGGGTAGGTTTTCAATAATTTTTCGTATTAATATTTATTTGCCCTGGATAAGGCTAGATTTGTGGGTTCAAAATGTGAAAATGAGAAAAGTTTATACAGTTTTTCGAGTTTTAGATTGAAATATATTTTTCTTGTGACGAAAGATACGTCAAACTAATTTAAAATTATACTACTGAAAAATATATACTTTTAGAAAAATCTAGAAAACAACGCAAATTTTAAGAATTGTTTAGATTTGGATACACTTTTTGTCCAAGATAATGAAAAGTACATAAATACAAAAATGTTTTGAGCGTGCAAAAAGCGTTAATTTTAAAAAATGTTTGAAATTTTTTGCAGTTCTGTACTAACTTGAGTGAATTACGGTAGTAATACTAGTCTGTGGGTAAGATACGATACATATAATTTACCTCAATTAGTTATTAGTCAACGGTTTTAAACTTGTACTTAAAATATTGCAAAATCTAAAATATTTACACAATAAAATTTAGAATTTTATTGTCCATTTTCTCTCTCTCCCCAGATCATGAAGGAACATCGGCACCGTTCTGAATCTTTTCATGACGCTTTCGACGACTTGTTTAAACACGTTGGACAAAATGAGGAGGAAAATGTCGTCCACGTGGAACGACACGACCTTGGGGGCGAGCTCTCCGAGCTGATGATGTCTCCCGGGTCGTGGATCGTCCTACAACCTGTCTCACTTGATGAGGCGAATCCCGAAGTAAACACGGAAGCGGGGAGAGATATCCACTGCCTGGAACTTGACGCACCCCCAACACTTGAACCAGTCGCTTTAGAAGTACCACCACCACCCAAGAAAAAACGTGGCCGTCCCCGCAAACTCGTGGCAAAAGAAGTTGCAAAAAAACCCAAGAAATATCAGGATACCAACCATGCCGACAAATCTGTGCGTAACGCAATCAACGCTAAGCGCAATCGCGACCTGGCCAAACAACGCGAGGACGCGCTGCGTACCGAAAATGCATCCTTGCGCCACGAAAATTCCACCCTGCGGGAAGAAAAGGTGACCTTATTGGCCGAGAAAACCGTATCGGACGGGATGATAGCCCACCTTCTCAAGCAGAATACAGACTACGTCACCAGACTCATAAATAGCGGATTACATGCATCCCCACTAGTCTGTGACAGGTCAAATCTTGACAATCCTGGTGACCTTGATAACTTAAAGGTCACACCAATGTGTGACACTTTTGAGATTGATGGGTCTTCCATATTTTTGCAAGATTTGTGTGATCCACTATTGGATCATGGTATCAATCTTGCTTAAAAATTGGCAAGAATTATTGAAGCGTTCATTAGTCAACGACTTGAGGACGCTGCAGAAAACAAGAAAAATGTATAATCTACATTTTTCTGCCAAATCGTTTATTTTCACACTTCATTTATCAAATTGATATGAAGACGTCCGTATGCTCGGAATGTGCAAAAACGGCAAACTTAAGTAGCGGACCTTATCCATTTAAATGCATGGATAAGGTTCCCTACTGCAGAGGTGTGGCTGAACTGCATACTGCAAGCAGCCCCTCTGTCCGATATACGCTATTTCTAGCATATTTTGGTGTGCACAAATATGTGCTAAATTATGTAATTACTAATATGTAATTACATACATCATTCTGTTATCATATATTTTCTTATATGTGTAACCGGTGATTAATTAGTTTTGCCGACTAATCAATAAATAAATGACTGTTGAAAATATTTCATGAAAAAATAGAAATTTATTTAAATAAGCAAAATTATTCTACTCCTAAAAGACAATGGGGGTGTTCACAGTAACGGATTATGACGATTATAATCCATTATGTGAACACCCATAATACAAATTTTTTGCACAATTTTAGCACTTACATATTTGTCTCACATAGTTTGGAATTCAGTCATTTACATATTTGTGTACGAGCATGGAGAATATGAGGAGGAAATATTTGTGAATCTTACTGTCACTTTATAAACAAATATGTTCGTGTAATTGCTGCCCACGTAATAATATGTAAATACACATACAAATTCTAAACATTTTCCCTCAACATTTAGCAAATTTATTTGACCGTTAATATCATGAAAATATTAGCGAAGCCATTTCATACCAACAAAATTCACATTCTGAGTAACATGGCATGAAAGTGTGCCTAAGTATTAAACAAAGACAGGGTTTCGGCCAGTCCTGCATATCCATGGAATTATGTATATATTTGGGTGAATTATTTACGTAGTACATCGCTGCAGAAAAAATAGAAATTTGTGAGTGACAGCAATTGTGCTATTTTGTTTTTTGCTAAAAAATCTAGCTTTTTTGCTTATCAAAAAAGCAGTGTAGCAAAACAGCAAAAAGGCATTAAAATTGGCGCTTTTTTGCTTTTTTGCCAAACACTGCATACCCAATCTTACACACAGTAAGTACCATTATATATGATTTAGTAGAAATTACCTCTACATAATACTTACCAATTAAATATTCCCAGTGCTTAATTACCATTTTCATACATACATACGTATCCCCATTTGGAACCCTGCATTATACGCAACCAGCAAACTTGCTAGCTCAACAACATTCCTATTTCCATGGACTTTATGTGAGACGTGAACTTATCGAGACAGGCAAGGGATCAATAATATTGATTCAATACCATTGTAGACCGTGCATAAAGATGGTGGGCAATTTGACCAAAATTTACTCTCATGACGAGTAATGCTACCAATAAGATGTAAACATTAGAAGGTGTATTGTCCTTCTCACTGCGAACAGCATCTTTCACGCACGTGCCCTCGCTATGCATCCATCCTCCCAACCCACAAACCCCTCATACGAATTTATGAGTGAAACGTTCCTCCAGAAATTGCCAATGCATCACTTCACTCATGTGTACTATCTATTGCGAATTTATTGGTGAAACGTTCCTCCAGAAATTGCCAATGCATCACTTCACTCATGTGTACTATCTATTGCGAATTTATTGGTGAAACGTTCCTCCAGAAATTGCCAATGCATCACTTCACTCATGTGTACTATCTATTGCGAATTTATGAGTGAAACGTTCCTCCAGAAATTGCCAATGCATCACTTAACTCATGTGTACTATCTATTGCGAATTTATTGTTGAAACGTTCCTCCAGAAATTGTCGATTGTCCTTCCTTGCCAAACCAAATTGGCAAGAGAGCATGCATTCATTCCTTCTCTATTTTGCATTTAGACAGAATATAAGAATTACTTGCCTGGGTGGATGGCACCATGCTAATAATTTTGTACTAAATATTGCAACCATGCCTACTTGAGAAATTGTTTTGCAAACGTGGATGTCTTTCTCAATCGTGTGAAATCATATGCGCTCTTGTGTTATAACAGCCACGTGGAATCTATGTATCCAGTCACAATTTACGAACGGGTGACGATGGATACAACAAAAGCGATTAACTCGGCTGGGAAACGGTATGTAAATAAGGAATTCAGCGTTTCTAAAAAAATTTATTAAATCTTTATTAAATTATGACAATTTGGTGATTCAATATTTCAAACAGTTTTTTTCTGAATATGCAGAAACTGCAGAAGTTGCAAGACAACGTGACATGGGACCGTATATGTAAAAAAATATATATCAAGATTTAATCAGGTTTATGTTCAATTAATACAAAATTAATTTACTACACTGCTAAAAATTAAGTTAGTGAAATTATAAGAGTATGTTAATTCCTTTATGAAAAATCTGTTTTTGTACAAAAACATTTAATAATGAATAATTATTGAAAGTTTGTGTGCATTAATTTACATATTCCAATTTTACAATTCATAAATCATGACCAATTTGATTCTTTTTTCGTGATCATTTTCTTCTATATTTCAGTTTAGGGCTCGTCCATGTATTACGTAAACATAAAATCCAGATTTTCAGACACCCCCCCCCCTCCCCCCTCCTTTATCCTACTCATGTTAAGTTTAACATGAGTAAGATAGCAGGGTCTAACCCCCCTCCCTCCCCTAATATGTTTACGTAATATGTGGACGAGCCCTTACAAGAAATGTAACCTCCATGTCAAAATTATTAATAGTCAAATTTCTTGCAGATTGAAGAATCCTGGGGTCCAGTCAGGGAATCGGGAGGAGGAGTAATCACACTAATCTCCTAGGATTATGTCGACCTTGAAACTGACTTAATTTCTACAGCCATCCCTCTACGACGCCACAATTATCAACCTGGTCCGATCTGACCCTCCAGGAATGAAATAACCCGTCTTTTCTTATTGTACTTTGAGGAATTTAAGTTTGCCGTTTTTGCACCTTAATCCATCCCCATCATTGGTGCTGGATTGGGCAGCAAAAACGTCAAACTTAAATTCGTCCACGTACAATAACTCTAATTTTCTGATAAAAATTAAATGTTTTGAAATTCTCCAGCAAACTAGATGACTTGATATTTTAAAAAAATCAAAATTATTTGCGTCGGCGGAATTAATGATTTCGAGGCTAGCTTAATTATTAACCTTGTTTATTTGTCATGGTAGTACCATGATGATAATTACAAATGTTTACATAAGTTTGAATATACATAATTATTACTTAAATGCCAGCTGCTTGTAATTATGCAAAATTTTGAATAATAAAAATAAATAAATTAAGCATACATAAATCATGAGCAAACTAGAATTTTTTATTTTAAAGTTGGTCACAGCAAAAAAAACATACTTATTATTCTAGAATATTATATTTATTCTTCAAGCTTTACATAATTATGCAAGAATTTAAAAAAAACTGTACAAGTGGAGATAGAGTAACAAAGGGCATACAAATGTATCCAATTGCATGTAAATTTAGTAAGAAGACTTTGTAGGACCAAAAACCTATTGTCAGTGTTCGTCCTAGCAAAAAAGCTGCTATTTTGCTATTTTGCTTTTTTGCTGAAAAAAGCAGCTTTTTTGCTTATCAAAAATGGATGCTTTTTTGCTTTTTTGCTGTTTTTGCCATCGGCGCGCCGCTAGATGGCGATATCAAAACAGCAAAAAAGCACAGCAAAAAAGCAATCTAGCAAAACAGCAAAACAGCAAAAAAGCATTGAAATTGATGCTTTTTTGCTGTTTTGGCGAACACTGCCTATTGTCCCTCCTGGGTTCCCCAGGACCGTTATTACCAAGACGTTCAACAGATTGAATTGATGAGCCACTTGATTAATACCAGTTAATGACTAATCCAGTGTCAATGGTTTCTTGTCAATTAGTTGAATAAAGCAAACTTTGGAAGGTTTATGAAAGAAAAATTTGTGAAGTATGGCGTTTCATGTGTATAGAAAGAAAATTAATTCATTACACGAACTCCAAAATGCAGGAGTTACATAAGTACATATGTGGTAATTTTGCATATATTAGATTTTGCGATAGTATGAAAATATTCGTGGAAAATTCGACTTATGTAATCGATATTTGACTAATTCCTGATTAATGTTTTTATATAGTAGAGTCATTCCTACCCTTTAAACAATTTGGTGTTAATGATAACGCCGCGGTGTGTGTGGGTGACTTTGCCGACGTGGTGTTAAATTTACAACCTAGCATACATATTTACATCCGAAGTATGTACATGTATGTATGTACTAATCCTATTGAGCTTATTGTGCATCGTTATTGTTTTTATGTGTGTCACTTTTGTGCAATGTGCACTTATTTTGATGATTTTTAATAGGCGTACTCACGGCAGCCTGCACATGTTTGACAAATAAGGGCAAAAAGTCACGCGTTTTTCGCATTTGTAGGGTATCCGTACATACATCGACCCTTAACTCGATTGATACCTCGGAACTTTCCCTTGCTAGTAATACTTCATTACCATCTTATTAAAGGATTACCATTAAAAGAAAGTTTCACGACTATGGCTAAACTTCGAGTTTTGTATTATCCGTTGAACTTCTCGTTGAATTTCAAGTTAATCGTGGAATATTTTTTATCCGGTGGATATCTGATCGCTCGAATTTTTGATCCGTTGAATCTGTTGTCATCCATTAGAGTTTTCGCCCCATGTTGAATTCATGCAGTGCTGTGTAATCAATTGCCAGTTAATTACACGTTTCCAAGTAATGAGTAATGAGTAATTTAATTTAATTACATGTTTTCGAGTAATGAATAATGAGTAATTAAATTGAATTACTTTTAGTATTAGAAACGTAATGAGTAATTAGAATTTAATTACAATGATGGGTAATGGTAGTTAATACAAAAATTGTAATCGATTACTCTTGAGTAATCAATTACCCGCTAAACTGACACATTTAACGCTCCATCACAATTAAGTACACTGTAAGAAACTGGGTGATAGTCGTTATCATGTTCATCACCATATGACTCTACCGCCTCTGGTGATACGCATCGTTACCTTTTGGTGACATTATATCACCAGTAGGTGATAGACTACCAGCGTTTGGTGGTAGTCTATCACCTACTGGTGATATAATGTCACCAAAAAGGTGACGATGCCTATCACCAGAGGCGGTAGAGTCATATGGTGATGAACATGATAACGCCTATCACCCAGTTTCTTAGAGTGTACTGAGCGGATTTCCTGATTTTTTTCGGGTAAGTTTTGTTAGACAATCAGATAGTGCAATGCAAAAAATATTCGGTAGCACGGTGTATATATGGTGTGAAACCATAAATTAAAGGGGATAAATCGTCACACTTTGGTGTCCATATTAACACAATGCTGTGTAAAATTTAACACCACTACGGTGAAGTCCAATTCACTCACCGCGTGGTGATAATTAACACCCGATTTTTTGCAGTGCACTAATTTCTTTCATATATCTAAAGGTTTAATATGTTAAACAACAAAAGCTTCATGGGAGCGTTGTAAATGATCTAAAAATACTTCAAATTGTAACTAAAATTATAATTAGTAATCAATTACATTTACATGTAATTAGTAATGAACAGTTAATTAGAAAATTTTTATGTAATTAACATTACAATTAAACTTAATTACTTTGACTTTGGTAATGAATAATGAGTAATTAAAACTAAATTACGACGTAAAGAAATTAGTAATTGGTAATTTAATTAGAATTTCAAGTAATTAATACAACACTGAATTCATGATCTAAAATAACAGCAATACCACCAAATTCATTACAGAACTCGTATAAAAAATGGAGTACATGCAATCCGATACATTGATTCATTTTGATTACAATTAATAACATTTAAATAATTCAAACAAGTTCAAAATTATTAATAATTAGTAATGAGACGATATGGCCCATATCACCACCAAATTTTATTTCTCACTAAGTATTTACAATCTTGCTGCTCCCGCATAACTACAATGTCTCTCAGGAACCTACCAAAAAATTACAAAATTTCTTTGTTTAAATGTCCAAAAAACTTATTTATTCTTACTTACCTTGCATCAAAATTATCACCCAAATCGTACCAATCCACCCCAACCAAGACGCCGAAAGTACCCTACATCCCGACCTTTCTCGACACCTGTCATAATCGCAATATGCCCCATTGATACAGCAATATTGTCCACAACAAGGTGACCCTGACCGGCAGCAAATTCCATTATAGCACTCTACATATCCCGGTGGACAGGTTGGCGGACCACGACATAGACCTCCAGAACAATACGAACCTTGCCTGCAACAATACCGCCCACAGCAGATTGTCGCATATGGACAACAGTAAATCCCCCCAGAGCAGATGTAATCTCCCGGCTGACAATATTGGTTGATCCCTTGTCTCAGAATAGATAAGGTCTCGTTTGAATATTGTATCCTAGATTGTCCCACTTCTTGAATTATTTGTGCAAAAAATTTGCCATCTTTTCCACTAATAGCACAACTCATGAAAATAACGGCGACCATACATCGCCAAAAACTTTGCGGAACCATTTCGGGAACTTAAATATGTATCAAACCCGCTGTTAAGTACAGATCACGAAACGATTATGAGAATTTTAGCATGATCCGATATGCGACTATATAATTTCAATTCTAATCTACACCGGGTCTTTTTGTCGCCAAGTTAGACTATGTTTGCGAAAGGATGCCGCTGATAGCTAGATGTGTACATATGTATGAGTGGTACGAACTAATCAGCGATTAATAGCCACACTTTAATTTGTTTGTGGTGTAGCTCAACCTGGTTAAACGACACAGATAACTTACATATATGAATCTCTGAAATATTTATGTTAGGAACAAAATACACAGAATTACGCATCGGCAAGTTTTCGCTCATAATGCTCGCTCATAGAATTATTCAGAAAGCTTAATCTTTATACGTTTTATTGCTTATTGCGAATTTCTACATAACCTAAACTTTGATGGGACTTATGTATTATGTATTTACGATAAGGTTCACAAATCTTGTTTATCTGTAGTAAAACCTTGAGAGAATTTATGTAGCAAACTTATGCATTCATAAGATAGGGTGTTACATGTAATGATACCATTCACGTTTGGGACACCAATTACATATTATCTCTCACCATTTGTGTAAATTATTTGTCAGAGGAAAATTCAGATAAAATGTGATTCATAAAATTGAAGTATTTTCGGGAGTTTGGGAGAATGAGGATGACCACAAGGCATTTATTTCTGCTCGACCCCAACTACCAAGCAGCTAACTTTTCACAAACTAAGGACAGAAAGAGGAGAAAGTTACGTACATGTGTCGTATGCAGTGTTCGACCAAGCAAAAAAGCTGCTATTTTGCATTTTTGCTGTTTTGCTAAAAAAGAGCTTTTTCCTTATCAAAAATGGATGCTTTTTTCGCTTTTTAGTTTTTTTTGCCATTGGCCCGCAGCTAGATGGCGGCATCAAAACAGCAAAGAAGCACGGCAAAAAATCAATCTAGTTAAATAGCAAAACAGCAAAAAAGCATTGATGATTAGTGCTTTTTTGCTTTTTGGCGAACACTGGCCGTATGTGTAGAAGTAAGTTGCGTAGATACATAGATTCTCGGGGATTGGGTGACATGCGTGCAAGGCATACATACTAAAGTTAGGCGAGACTTTTACCTTGTTTCGTCACATTGGGATTCTTGGAACCTGGTATGACACGAAATTCATGGTATGCATGAAAAACAAAAATTTAAGTCATAGATTTTACCACAAAGTTAGTCCTGTAATTCCATTCTGATGAAAATCATGCAAGTCTGATGGAAATTGTGAATAATGTAAATTTTCAGAAACTATGTACATACTTTACTCTGGCAGGATTTCCTGAAATTTGACAAATAACGTGAATTTAAGGGAGAAATTAGTCAATAAATTTACCTTTTCTCCATAAATATTCATAGAATTATGTAATTTCCTAAATCAACAAGCTACCTACATATGTATGTACCTCGATCGCATATTGCTTTCACAGCGGAGTATTTGCATAACTTTGCAATCTTATCAAACTGACTACCACTTCCTCTCTGAAATTATAATATGATAAATTTGCCAAAATTCTCCCTTATTGTGCAACGAAAGAGTAACTATTTAATATTTTGATATAATAATTTATACAAAATCTGCTTCAAACTCTTGGCGTGAATCGTATCTCGACCCCCATATCGACTTGGAAGCCGATCTGCGTTCTTGGAATCTTGACGGGAATCGGGTCGTCTTGGTCGGACTGAGAACAAAATTCCGGACTACATGTGCCAATAAAACTTTGGTTTCTGCTAAAGCGAATCTCATTCCTGGGAAAACTAAATAGTCATGATTTTGGCAATATTGCAAAAATTAAATTTTGCAATAAAATTCTTACCTATACAATTCCTCGGTCCGACTCCAAATGGGAGGTATGAGTATGGACTAATCTTTCCTTTATTTTCTACCGAGAATCTTTCCGGATCGAAGTTTAGCGGATTTGCAAAATATTGCTCATCTTTTTGCACCGCTTCCGCTGAAATGGCGATATTTGCACCTTTTGGAATAATTACGGTTTTCCCGTTACTCCTCATCACGGCATAATCCTTCACCGCAATTCGTTCCAATCTCGACTGAACGGGGTAGAGGCGGAGCACCTATGCAAAAAATATGAATTTTGCACTGTATAAAAATTTCGCAAAAATATTCATTCATGCATACTTTACAACGGTCGTAAAAAGTTCGCAAATTTTGCTTTACAAAATGTGCGATTTTATCGCGTTAATGGTTTCTGCACAGAAAACCTTGGCCACCCGGAGTAAAAATTATGTGAACTTGTAAAGTATACACGAATCCCTTCAATATTTCTGCATTTCTAAAATTCGCACATAAATTCGCAATTTTTTTTTACCCACCTGAAATAAACATCTCCATATACTCCAACTTGTTCGAGTCGTCATACGAAATCGTTTCATTTTCCCCCATCACGTCCTTAACCTCTTGATAAACTTTGTCCTGCAGTTCCCCCTCCGTCGCTAAAATGTACATCGCAGCGGCCAAGTTATTCGCCACCGTGGCAAATCCAGCCCCCATGAAGAGGAAGGCCTGCGCACACGCGAGCTCGTTGGTCCACTTGATATTTTTCTTGTTTCCCTTCCCCACCTTATCATTTTCCGGGTTATCCTCATTTTGCGCGTCCACCAACAACTGGAAGAAATCTGACCCCTTCACGCCCCCATTTTGTCGCGCGGTCAACGCCGCGTTTAACAAGGACCAGTAAAAGTCTGAATATTTCTGCTCGATTCCCTGAATTTGGGCGAGTTTCGAAAATCTTGGAAACATTTGGAGCATGGCGAACTGAAATTTTCGATTTTTTATGAAAGCTTGAAACATTTCTGTCGTCGTGTTGAAAAAGACATCGTTTTCCGCGAAGGTGTCGACATAAAGGCCAAAAACGGCCGTGGCGATGTTTCCCAACGTGTATTTGTACATGCAGGTAAGGAGCGGGATGTCGAAGGAGGATGGGGCCGTGGGTGGTGAGGGGTACGATTTGATGGAAGAGGTCAACTTGGTCGCAGTTCTGTAATATTGCAAAAAATATGTAGTCAAAATTTTGCAAATATAAAATGTGTGCAAATTTCTACGATGCATTTACCAGTGCTGTGCAGCCTCAAATTTCCTCAGCCTCAATCCCTCAGCCTTATATGCTAATGAGCGCCCTCAGCCTCAATCGACCTCGCCTCAATTCATAATGTCGACCTCAGCCTCAATCGCCCTCAGCCTCAATTTATAATGCCGACCTCAGCCTCAATCGCCCTCAGCCTCAATTCAATTTGCCACCTCAGCCTCAATCTCCCTCAGCCTCAATTCAATTTGCCACCTCAGCCTCGCCTCATGAGGCTGAGGCTGAGGGCGAGTGAGGGAGGAAAAAATCGCCCTCATGAGGGCGAAATAAGCGATGCACAATCAACTTGTCAACAATCAACAAAGCGAAAAGTATTTCAAGGAAATATTTTACTTTTATTTTGTACAATAATCTTACAGCAAGGAAAATTCGTACAACAATATAACATTGTTATAGCTGTACTCCTCATGAGTAGTTCTAATGTGTCTTTTCCTCAACTAAGATTAAACTAACAACTTTGACTAATTTTTAAAGCTGAACCTAAAAACCATTACTCATGAGTAATTTTATCATTTCGATATTGCATAAAACAGCTATATTTCTTTAAGTATTCATTTTATTTAACAGGAATTGCTGATAACAGAGCAGCATCTCAATGGTAGCCACTGTCAATGAACATCTTCGAGCTCTGGCTATGACACCTGCGATGCTGAATAATCTTTCAATAGAGGCAGAGGAGGCTGGCATTGCTAAATAAACTTTTGCTAATGAAAATTTAGCTGACTTTGTTAAAACTAACGAGTTTTAAAATTTAAGTTTAAATTGCATGTAAAGCCGATGAAATTCAATTATTTAGTCGTTAAGTGCTGCATTTCTCATGAGAAATTATTTTATTATAAATAAATATTGTACAATAAATATAAATAAATATTTACAGTTGAACCGATTTGATTTGATACTAAAACTGACTAAAATTTTTATTAGTAGTTTTAATTAAATATAAGCGAATGCATCACTCCTCTGCCTTCGCCCTCTCCCCAATTCATGTCGACCTCAGCCTCAATCGCCCTCAGCCTCAAATCAATTTGCGACCTCAGCCCCAATCGACCTCAGCCTCAAATCAATTTGCGACCTCAGCCTCAATCGCCCTCAGCCTCAAATCAATTTGCGACCTCAGCCTCGCCTCATGAGGCTGAGGTGAGGCAGCGTGAGGTGAGGGCGAAAATCGCCCTCATGAGCTGAGGGTGCACAGCTCTGTGATCAACAAGCAGAGTTCGGTCAATCCAGAATCTGGATTAGCTGATTAGATTATGGATTAGAGATTATTAATCCCCAATCCCTAATATAAGACTTCTGTATTAAAAATAATAATTCCCAATCCCCAATCCCAAGAAAGAGTGGAACTAAAACTAATCCACAATCCCCAATCCATTGAATCATTTAATTCTCAATCCGACCCGGATTAATTTTTGGATTTTTTTCATCTGCCTCGGTGAGCCGAGTAAAGTTCGTTCCAAGTTACCCAGCGACCACAATGATATCAATAACAATTCATCTTCATGTTTCTTGAAAATATTTTCTTTCATGAAATTATTCAAATAATTTTATACATTGTTACACCTGAAGAAGGGGGCAGTTGAACCCTGAAAGCTTGTGAATAAATCGATTAAAAATGTCATCCATACGATCTGTTAATTCTACCATAAAATTCGTTCGTTGAACTCGGTTCGTAGTTCGTTCAGGCAATGAATCCGCCACTTTTCACAACTGTTTCTCCAGTGTTGCAACAAGACACTTTCCAAACTTTGTTTTTTTTTGTAATTTTTAACTTGCAATATATTTTAAAATGGCAGAAATACAAAATGAATTCCCTTACATATTTCACGGCGAGTTCTTTGTGGTAACCAATATAGACAAGGCCAATGGAAAAATTGCAGCAGCATGTCAGGAGTGTCTTTCGATGTGTATGAATATGCTTGTTGTTTTGAAAGTTCAATATTAACTATATTGTTTCTCACCCCAGTTAATTTTTGTCTTATCAAAATAGCAAAAATAAATTTGCTTTGCAATTATTTTTTTTCGCTGGTTATTTTTTACTCATATTTACGAACTCATTTAAATCTAAATCCAAGAAATAATCAGGATTGTTAATCCCAATCCATTAATCCACTAAAAATTTGAGATTTTTTAATCCCGGATTAATTCAATCCCAACATTTTGCTAATTCAAATCCAAAATATTAATCCGGATTTTTTATAAAATAATCCGTAATCCCCAATCCCAATCCAGACTCAAGTAATCTCCGAACTCTGTCAACAAGGTTTTGTGATAATGATCCTACATGCGATGAACGTCGCCCACAGCTTGTGGGCGACGTTCAACTTCTTGGATTTGTTCAACGTAACAAGAGCATAATATACATTGTGATTTTGCTCTGTAATTCGTGAGGATAAACAACAACACCTTGATGGCCGTTGTAAACTATGTCTGGCATGAAATTAACCAAGGTGACTCACCTACTCAGCTACAAGTAGGGTCGTCAATATGTCATGTAACGAGTAAATGTCGTGTCACTGTCATAAGTGTCAATGTCATCTCAGAAATGTCCATCAATGTCCGTAAATGTCATAATTTCCAATGCGTGACATTGATATTTATGACATATTTGGCATTTCATTGACCAATTGTGTAAACGAATCTCATGGATTCCCATACCAGGCGGAAAACGAAATTATAATACCGAAGATTTCAGAAGCCGAATTTAGATTAAATTTTAGAGGAAAAGCGCCAGGAACCACACCCACCCGGGGGTGTGGATTTTCATTGTTTGAGGTCACTATGGCAATGGTCTTTCTCTCTCGAGAAATAATTTGTGTCGCTTGATATGGTTTCCTTGAACAATGTCGAAAGCGCTGAAAACCACACCCACCCGGGGGTGTGGGTTTTCAAAATTGGAGATGATCATGGTGACCGTCTTTCTCTACCGAGAAATAATTTGTATAGCATAACATGCTTCTGTTACATATTTATACATTCGCTGAAAGCCACACCCCCAGCCACCCCTAATGGAGCTGCGACCTACAATTTTGGTCAATTTTGGTCACTTGAGTGGTCAGACTAGCTTTTGAAATTTTGAATTTTCCAAAAGAATTTGCTTAATTTGCCAATTAACGAAAGCTACTCAATGTATGACCTTATGATCTGGATTGCAGGTCAGCGAGGTCGAAATTTAAAAAATTGGAAATACATGTTGGCGGCAATGACTTATAGTTTCCGAAACAGTCTACATTTTGAAAATCGGTTCAAAATTGAAATTTTGGCTCATATTTGAATTTCCGGCATTTTTTATGCATTTTAACATGCATCGAAAAAGGCTCAACCAAAAAAAACATAATTTACCACAGTTTGGGTCGACTCCTTAAAATATATTTTACCACACCGACAGGGGGTGTGGTTGTTTACTTTGATTAGGTAGTCGTGATCCCTTCGACAGGCTGAGCAAAATGACGTATCAGATGCCAAACCCTGGTTAGACTGATAAAAATGCCAACAACCCCACCCACAGTGGGTGTGGATTTTAATTCAGGGTTCATGGTCGTGATCACCTCGAAGCGCTGAGAAAAATTATATGTCGAATGTCACACGTTGGTTGAGTATTCCCAAAGCGCCGAGGACCACACCCACAGTGGGTGTGGTTTTGGATTTGACTTATGCCGTCGTGATCCCCTCGACGCGCTGAGAAAAATTATGTACCATTTGTCATACGTTGCTTTGAGTATTCCCAAAGCGCAAAGGACCACACCCACGGTGGGTGTGGTTTTGAATTTGACTTATGCCGTCGTGATCCCCTCGACGCGCTGAGAAAAATTATGTCACATGCCAAACATTGTTCCAGTAATAACAAAAGCGCTGATAGCCACACCCCCAACGTCTTCATGGGGTATACGACTAGGTCATGGTGATTAGGGGATCACGGATATAGAGTGTTTAAGGGCGATGGTGAATTTAATAAATCACGATAGGAAATGATTTTACTTAAATTTTTCGATTTCTAACCACCCCCACAATGACCCCTAATCAGGGGGAGTGACCAATTTTCGCTCCCCTCGATGACCTGAGTTTTTTAAATTACTCCACGAAGGTTTAAACACTAATTCGGTTGTACTATTTTTAAAAAATGCAGGCGAAAATTTACTCGTTTTCAGACTTTATGACCTTAATTTCATGTGGGTGTGGTCGAATTTCAAAAATCTGGAAATATATATTTCGCCCAAGGGTCTGCTGTTTTTAAAACAGTCGGAATTTCGAACATCGATGAGAAATTGACAGAGAAATTCAAATTCGAATTTTCAGTGTTGTTAGTTACTGGCGGGTCGGCCAACTCATGTTATGGTTTGTGTATTTAAAGGATGCGAAATTTTAGTACAATTCTGCTAACATGAGTTGGCCGACCCGCCCGTAACTAACAACATTGAAAATTCAAATCCGAATTACTCTGTCAATTTCGCATCCATTTCATTCCATGTCGAATTTCAAAATTCCGACTGTTTTGAAAACGGTAGACCCTTGGGCGAAATAAACATTTCCAGATTTTTGAAATTCGACCACACCCACATGAAATTAAGGTTATAAGATCTGAAAACGTGTAAATTTTCGCCAGCGTATTTTAAAATAGTACAACCGAATTAGTGTTGAAATCTATGTGGGATCATTTCAAAAACTCAGGTCATCAAGGGGAACGACAGTTGGTCACACCCCCTGATTAGGGGTCATTTGGGGGTGGTTAGAAATCGAAAAACTAGACTAAAATCATTTCCAATACTGATTTACTAAAGTCACCATCGACCTTAAGCACACTATATCTGCGATCCCCTAAACACCATGACCTTGTCGTATACCCCATGAAGATGTAGGGGGTGTGGCTATCAGCGCTTTTGTTATTACTCGAACAATGT